TGTGTGTGTGTGTGTGTATGTGTGTGTGTGTGTATGTGTGTGTCTTTTCTTTGTGTGTCTTTTCTTTGAGATACATCAACCCTAAAGCCTTTCATCTTCATCTCCAGCCAAGACTCCCGGCTGCATTTCCAGACCCAACTGGTCTGAGTCCCTTCTCACCTCTCTTACTACCGGCTGAGATGCCTCTCTGGGTGGGGCTGCCAGATAAAATATAGAATGCCCAGTAAAATTTGAATTTTAGTTGAATAAGATGTCATTTTTAGTATGAGAATGCCCCAAATATTGTATAGGATATACTGAAAACTTACATGCTGTTTATTGAAATTGATATTTACCAAAGCTTTCCAGACTTTCATTTGCTAAATCTGGCAACCCTATTCCCCTATGAGCCAGTACCACACCCCTGCACAGCTGTGACCTCCTCTTTCTCCCAGCTCTCTTCGTGTCCCTGTAAGCCCTGCTATCCCAGTGTCCCAAGCTCAGCCTTCACTGTTCCAGGGGACCCAGCCAGTCAGTGGCTCCTGCCCACTCTTTAGAAACACCCCCCTTTCTCCAGCCCACTGCCATCCGTGGCTCCACGCCTAGACAACTGTTGTCCCAGCCTTAACACCTCTGTCTTCATCTAGCCCCCACCAGGTGAACATTCCTCAAGTGTCCCCTTGACCACGCCACACGCTGCTTCAGCCTTTAATGCCCCCCACTGCCCATGGGAGAAACTCCCAACTGCAAGGCTTATAGCAGCCTGTTCCCACTGGCCTTCCCAAACGGACTTCCTGCAACCCACCTCCCTCCCCCGTCCTTGTGGTCAGAGGACCCTCACATACTCCCTATCCTTCAAGTGCAACCCCACTTTCCCATGAAGACCCAACTCAAAGGGCCCATTGTCTGTAACGGCCCCCTGACTGCCCAGCTTGGACAGGCTTCTCCTGCCCTCCTGTGTCCGCCTCTGGCAAAGTACACATGCACTGCCTTCTACATCACCTTGTTTTTTTTTTTAGAGACAGGGTTTCTCTGTGTTGGTCAGGGTGGTCTCCAACTCCCAACCTCAGGTGATCTGCACGCCTCGGCCTCCCAAAGTGCTGGGATTACAGGCATGAGCCAGCATGCCCGGCCTATACTTCCTCTTAATCTGCTCTTGGGTCTTAAATCTTATGGTAGTTTAGCTATGAGCTTATCTTCTCAACTAGATTGGAGGCTCCCTTAGGGCAGGAAAAAGATTGCATGCCTATTTCCCCTACGGTCTCTGGCTGAGTCCCAGGCCAGAGTATTCGCTGGCTTATGCATGGGTTCTGCACTCCCCTGGCCACTGTCAGAGTGAGTGGGCAGGACCCCTGGGCATGTCCCAGGCTCGCTCACTCTCAGGTGGCAGGCCATGGCTGTGGGCCCCAGAATGCATGCAGGAGGTAGGGCTGAGGCTGGCAGGAGGCTGACCTGGCTCACAGTGTGGGCAGCATGCTCCTGGCTCAGGGCAGGGTCCTCTTGGGCATGGTTTCTGGGTGCAGGTGATGGCCCCTTCCTGTGGGAGCAGACTGAGGTGGCTGCACAGGCATGAGAGCCCCGGAGGGCAGGGCATCTGGAAGCAAGCCCTCAGCCCAGGTTGGGACACATCAGAGGGACAGGAGGATGAGTTGGCTCTGCAGATGTGGGCTACCCTCCAACTAAAGGCAGAAAAGAGACATCCCGCCCCCATTCCCATCATCTCCTGATGCTCTTGACCCTGGAAAACCATCTGTTCCAGGCACCAGCAAATTCCCCAGAGAGAAGAGATCCTAGGAAGAGAACCAAGGGCTTTCTCAATGGAGAAAGGAGGAAGAAAAGGCTGGGGGAAGGTGGATGTGGAGCCTGGTGAGGGAGAACTGGCAGGCCAGGGGCTCCGAGGTAGAAGATGGGCAGTGGAAGAGTGGGAGGTGACATAGGAGGACAAGCAACTATTAGGTTGGTGCAAAAGTAATTGCGGTCTTGGCCATTAAAATCATGTCAGGCCAGGCACGGTGGCTCACGCCTGTAATCCCGGTACTTTGGGAGGCTGAGGCAGGTGGATCACCTGACGTCAGGAGTTCAAGACTAGCCTGGCCAACATGGTGAAACCCTGTCTCTACTAAAAACACAAAAAATTAGCCAAGGATGGTGGTGCCTGCCTGTAATCCCAGCTACTCAGGAGGCTGAGGAAGGAGAATCGCTTGAACCTGGGAGGCAGAGGTGGCAGTGAGCTGAGATGGTGCCATTGCACTCCAGCCTGGGGTACAAGAGTAAAACTTCGTCTCAAAAAAAAAGGGCATGTCAAAAACTGCAATTACTTTTGCACCAACCTAATACATCCTCAGCCCTCCATGCCACTGTTGGCCAGGTCTGAATCGAGAGGCTTGGGGGCCCCCCAACTGTCCATGGGTGTCAAGCTCCTCTTCCTACTCGGAATCAACTGAAAGGCGCCGTGGCAAGGTGTGGGGAGTGGCAGGCAGAGCTCATTCTACCACATCTCAAGTGCCATGTTGCAGCGACCAGGAGCTGAAGTGAGGCAGACAGACAGGTGAGGGATATCCAGGTGGGTCCCGAGAGCTCACCAGACAGCGGCAGGTGGTGCAGGCATCTGGGGAGAAGGTCTCCCCGTTGCTGTAGGTCTGGCCATTCTGGCTGCAGCCTGAGGAGACCGCACTGTCACTCAAGCACCCAATGCCATCTGTAGGCCTTGAGGTGGCCCTGGGGGACAGATAGGGTGGCACTTACCCCCGCAATGGGGCAGGTGGACTTGGGGGCCACAATGAGCAGCCCCATCCCGGCAGACACAGGCTGTGCAGGCGTCAGGCTCCCAGCGCGCCCCCTCCGGCCAGGCACGCCCCAGCCCCCAGCACTGCGGAGACGCAGGGCGGCACTCACAGGACTCCAGCCGCCTCACCCTCATCTGCAGGTCCTTGTTCTGGAGGAAGGAGATGGGAATAGCAGGCACTGGCTCAGCTTCCCCCATTATCTCCAGTAGATTTGATGGGTTCGAAAATGAGGAAGGGTGAGAAGAAGTTTGACAATGCTAGAGCAGAGATGGGTCCCCCCGGTCAGCATCCAGTTCAGAACATCACCATTCTCAGGTGAGCATGGGCCCCATTCTCTCCTTTGGACAAAATGAGGACCCAACCCCTGCCCTAAGAATTACAGACATCTTTACCCAACCAAAATATTTCTTCATGATGCCTTATATAGAACACATTTCATAACATTTCCCAAACACATGAAGGGTATGAAATACAGACTGACAAAACGAATAGCCTGGAGTTTCTTCACTTGTATGAAAGAACTGATGTTAAGAACTGTTCAGGCTGGGCGTGGTGGCTCACGCCTGTAATCCCAGCACTTTGAGAGGCTGAGGTAGGCAGATCACCTGAGGTCGGGAGTTCAAGGCCAGCCTGACCAACACGGAGAAACCTCGCCTCTACTAAAAATACAAAATTAGCCAGGCATGGTGGTGCACGCTTGTAGTCCTAACTACTTGGGAGGCTGAAGTACGAGAATCACTTGAACCTAGGAGGCAGAGGTTGCAGGGAGCTGAGATCATGCCACTGTACTCCAGCCTGGGTGACAGATGGAGACTCGAAAGAAAAAGAAGAGAGAGAAACAGGGAAGGAAGGAAGGAAGGAAGGAAGGAAGGAAGGAAGGAAGGAAGGAAAATATAAAAGAACTGTTCAGATAAGAGCCTTTCCATGTGCATTGAAAACAAAGCTCTATTTTAGCTGCCCACCCCACCCCCCACAAGCCTAACCCCTTCTCTCCTTCCTACTAAAAGAAGCCCTCCCTACCCAATACAAACCAACCCTGTCTCCATGGTACCTGTTCTCTGAGCTCCACCACTGCAGCCTCCAGTCGCCCCAGCCACTCTCGCAGGGAATGCCACTGCTCCTGGGGGTCCCCAGCAGGGGCTGAGGAGTGGGCAGGCGTCTGCCGCCCAGGGGGCTCCCTGGGGACGGCCCCACCTGAAGGGCACAAGAATCCCATGTGGGCCTGAGGGTGAGGGGTTGGCCTGGCCACGTTTCCTGGATTCTGTCTCCTGACCCACAGGGGAGGAGGTCATCCTGTGCACCCTGCCCTGTCCACTTGCCCACCCACCATCCAGGGAAGGAGGCTGGTCTGTGAGGGTTGGGGAGTGAACGCTGGAGGCCGCGGTCTGGAAAAAGGGGGGGGACGCTCTGAGTGGACAGATGTGGCCCAGACCAGCTTCCCCACTTGTCTGGGGTTGAGCCCCAGGGCCCCGACCCTCTAAGGGACGCAGAGCAGTATCTAGAGCAGAGCCTCCCTGCAGCCTGCCCCGGCTCTGTGATGTCCCCAGCCATGGTGGGTGTGTCAGGATCATCCCGCTTCTCCTGGGCCAGGGGTTGGTCAGAGATGGCTGGGGAGCAGATATGTCATGCCTCAAGAGCCCGGAATCCAGTACAGGCTGAAACGCACCGGGAGGCCACAGATACATACCAGGCGGGGCTGCTTTCAGGGGGCTGGGGGGTCTGGCTGAGTATTTTCAAGGGAGCATACGGGTAGCCCCCCAACCGCTGACTCTCTGTCTACACCTGTCAGAAAGGCCACCACTTTTGGAGAATGTGCTCAGGGAAAGACACATTCCTTTCCTGCTCCCCCTGCTCTGTCCCCAACTCTGAGCACAGTTTTCCAGGTTTGTGACAGGGGGTCCCGGGGGCCCCCTCATTGGGTGGGGTGGGCTCCAGAAAGTGGGACTTGGTTGCATTTCCTGAAGAGGTTAAGGAAGGTGCTGGCAAGGCCCCTACTAGCTTTGAACACACCAGATCCAGTGAAAACAGCCTGCTTCTAGAAAACACTGTGTCCAGGAAAGGGGGATGGGGCACCTCTGAGCTCTGGCTTGGGGTTGGAGATGGCCACTTTCACCTTTTCACTATGATCCTTCTCCTGCAGCCAGGAAAGTAAAGGCAGGAGGGGAAGAGGCAGACATGGGTCTCTCCTCCAGGCAGGTGAAGTGGAGGGTCTGGAGGGGGAGGTAAGAGGAACAGCGAGAGGAGGAGGAAGAGGGCTGGGTCTTTCCCACCATGGTAGCTCATTAGTGAGGCCAGGCCTGGAGTGGCTGAAAAGGGTTTCTCACAGACACTAGGTCTGTGAGACAGGGGAACAATGTCACCCGCTGCCACCATCAAGGGCGGAGGGAACTCGAGGCTAAAATTCAACTTGCTTTGTCCCAAGTTCCCTGGCTTGGTTAACGCCATCCCACTTACCAGTTACCTAAGCCAGAAAGCTGGGGCTCAGCTCCCCTATTTTGTTGCCGGAGTTGCCCCCTAATCCATCCCCACTTCTCCCCTCTCCACGGTCTCCACTCAAAAGGCTGAAGACAAAGCGTCCCTGCCTCCACCTTTCTGAATCACACAGCTGAAGGCTCCCAGGAGCAAGTCCCACTGAAACCGATCACAAGCACCGCCCACCTTTCCCGCCCTCCTGCTGCCCGCCCACATCAGGGGTTCTAACTCCTACCCCACACCCTGAGCGGAAGGATACTGGCCCCCAAACCCCAGGTGCCTGTTCCAATCTCCATTCCTGTACTGGGCATCCTGTCACCCCGAATGGCACTCGGTCTCAGTCCTTTCTAAGCACACAGAGGGCGGCCAGGATGGGCGTCTCAGCATCTGAAACCTTCCACCCAGTCTCCTCTCCCGTGGGGCCTCACCCTGCTGCCCCAGGGCCCTCCTCCCAGCCACTCCTCCAGTCCTGCTTAAACAGGAGCCCGGGAGAAGCTGGATCCTCCGGGACTCCTCGGTGAAGCTAGGGCCGGCCTTGCCTGGAAAGACCTGCAGAAAGAGCTCCAAGTGGCACAAACCCTGCTGCTCCCCAAGGAACTGTCCCCGGCTCCTTTCTCAACCACCCTTGGCCCCACGCCGGCACCGAGCCCTCCATTCCCGCCTGTCCCGCTCCGGGGAGGGCCAGACACAGACTCAAAGTCAGCTTCCACAGCGGGCCTCCTTTCTCCCCCTCCTTTGTCAAATAATTAACGTCAGACTCCCAGATGCCAGGGCAGCCGCGCTCTCTCCCGCTACAGGCCGGAGGAATCCCCCTTTCCTGAACCCCCTGCCTTGGCTCGGGTCTTCCCTACCCTGCTCGCTTCCCCGGGGGGAGGACGGAGAGGACGGGGCTGGCCTGGGAGGCACGCGAACCTCAAGCAGGGCTAAGAGAAGCAGCCCCCGGCCCTGCTCAGCCCCCTCAGGCCGGGCTGATAGGAGGCGGGGCGCACCCAGCCGGACCCCCAGTCTCCCGCGCCCGGACTCACCTCCCGCTCCCGCGCCCGCGCCCGCGCCCGCGGCCAGCGCCAGGCCCCCGAGCTGCAGGAGCAGGGACAGCACAGCGGCCCCGGCCCCAGCCATGCTAGCTCCGCCTGGCTCGCTGGTCGCAGCTCAGGAGGCGCTGGGGGAGGTGGAGTGGGGACACACAGGCCGCTCCCACCCAGGCTTTGTTCAGGGAGGGCTCAAACCCCCACCGCGCGCCTTTCCCATGGACACCTCCACCCGCCCTGGCCCCGGCGGTCTTGACCTCAGAGAGCAGCTCCAGCTGCAGGAAGCCAGCGAGGTTGCAAGCCCTGTCTCGGCTCAAGATCCAGGAGGGAACTCTGAAAAGAAAAGAAACTCAAGTCCACCCCTCTCGGGCTCTGCGGCAGTCTCCCTGCCCTTTAGGTTACTCCATCGCCTGCGGTTCCCAGATTGATTTTTCCTGTCTCACAAGTTTACAGGAGAAGGAGCCTGAGCTGGGTTTAAATCCCTGCTCGGCCAATTCCATGTGGTCTTTGATCACTGACTTCTCTGTGCCTCAATTTTCCTATCCGTGAACTGGGGATCACCACATTTACCTTATAGACTTGCAGTGAGCATTAAGGGAGATTATTTAGTTGGTAGACACATGGTTAATGCTCAGTAAATAACAAATAATAACAATAAGTGCTACTCCTCATCTCTGAAATCAAAGACAACCAGTGTATTGCTCTCTCCACCTGTAAGTTTCTTTCCTGGACTCCACTCAACACCCCTCCCCACCCCAGCAGTCCCAGGCTTGGCCCCAGATGCCAAGGCCGCCCTTCAATGGCTGCTCTCAGCCCATTTCCCACTCCTGAGCTCAGGCCTGGCTGTGAAGTGAGCCTGGGTAGGGGGCAGGGCCGGGCCCTGGCTCAGCAGGCAGAGGGGCCAAAGGGAGGAAGTGAGGACAGCTGTCCACAGGGGCACTCTGGGCTGGGAAACTCCTCTGTGCAGCTGGGAAGCAGAGGGTTGGGTCTGGAGCTCACAGGCAAAGAGGGACATTGAGGGCGGAGCTGTGAGCCCTACCAAAGCTCTCTCTCCCTGCCATAACAATCAGAAGTCAGAAGCCACCCCTCCCTTGGCCCCGACAGGACTGAGGTCTCCCCAGCCCATTCTCCACAGAGCTTAGGGCTATAAGTGAGGAGAGGGCAGCTTCTCTGCCCCAGAGTCTGGGCCGGGCCCCTAGTGGGCCTAAGCCTTTGCCACAGGGGGCGGGGAGGCTGTCATGTCACACTAAGACCTGGCCTCAGCTGGAGTCACAGAGGAAAGCCAGGGCCAGCTGGCCAGAAGAGGACAAGGAAGTGGCAGTGCTATTCCCAGCAGGTTTGAGGAAGGTGGCCTCATTTACCGGGTGCTTCTAGAAGGCAAGTCCTCCAGAAGGCTGGGTTTCGGGACAGTTCAGAGTACAGACTGTGGCAGGGTTGCCAGGGCACACCACGGAGCTCATGCTTTCTGCTGTGGGACCTCTGACAGGTCACCTCACTTTCTGGGGCTGATTTTTCTGAGCTCTGACTGGAGCTCTAACAGCACCCAACTCGTGGAGTGTTTGTAAGGGTTAATACCACATGGTGCCTGGCACAGAGGTATGAGTGCTTATTACTTTCTTTACAAAGAATGGGGCACCTCCCTCCCCATTTTACAGAAAGGAATCAGTGAATGGGGTGAGTAGCTCTAAACCACACTGGGAGGATGCACAGGTCTTCCCTGGCCCCACAGCCGGTCCTTTGTGCCCCGGCCTCTGTCTCTGAGCCTGGCCCCAGTCTGCCCTCATGTCACATTCCCAGGGAGGGACACTGTCCTGAAACAGACAAGGCCCTCCAACCCCTGGGGCACGGTGTGGGGGGAGGCTCTGCCTTCACCCCCAAGGCAGGTGTTTGTAGTGTCTGATTCTATGCGTGTGTCTGGGTGTGGCATGTGTGTGTGTGTGTGTGTGTGATGTGTTTGGCTGGAGGTGGGGGCCAAAGCTGGGGAGGCACTTCTGGGATTCAAGGGACCTTGACTTTGAAGGGGCTTCCAGGGACACTTTTGTCACCCCACTTGATGATGAGGATGTAGTCCCCTTTCTCCTTGACAGTGTAGGTGACGTTGTACACCCGGTTCCTCATGTGCTTCACGTACACCTCCTCACAGGGGGTCTTGGGCCCGTGCACACTCGCCATCATCATGTTGGTGCCCGGAGAGGGAGGCAGAGGGCCGGGCTCACACCAGGGAGGCCCCAATGGGAACCCACACTCTGCTCCCAGATGGCTTCTTGCTCCCAACCCAGAAGACGCCCTCCCCCTCCACCTGCCTGCTTTGCTGCAGTCCACGGTGAAGGAGTTCTTCTGGCCCACGAAAGCCTGGGACAGCCCAGGCCCCCGAGTCACCACCTTGCTGGCATCCGAGGAGAACTTGGGGATGGAGCTGTAGCTGGAGCCCTGGCTTGAGGAAGACTTGGTCACAGTCTCCACAAGAACCGGGAACTCAGGCCAAGTCACAGGGTAAGAGTCACTTTGCAAAGGAACACCCACCCAACCCATCCTATAGACAGTACCGGGAAGGGGAGCTTGCTCAGTACTGACTGTGTCTTCCTGGAGCCGAGGAATTTGGGAAGCCAGGAGGGAAGAAAGGGACGCTAGAGCCTCAGGAGCCAGCAAAGGCCAGAGATGAAGGAGGGCCAAGATGGGAGGAAGAATGGGATATGCACACGGTCACTCGAGGCTCCACAGAGTGTGTGCTGTGTGGAGCCGGGCCCACCTCTATCCCTGGTAACTGACTGTGATGTCTAGGGAAGACTATGGCCTGGATGTGGGTGGCCACCGAAGCCCTCCAGGCTGGACTGGACTGCAGGCTGGGTGGACCTCCCCCGAGCTGGCACTCACCTGTGACCCCCAGCTGCCCACAATGTGCTGGGGGCCATCATACTTGATGGCAATGAGGTAGTTGCCAGGGGCCGTGGGAGTGTAAGTGACCACGTTGTCCTCGGGACATTCCTGACAGTCCAGCTGCACCTTGGAGGGGCCATCAATGGTGACAGACATGGCCCGTGAGCCAGTGTTCAGGGTGTTCATGATGAACTCTAATGACACACCTGGGGGTCAGAGGTAGCAAGGCTGAGGGCAGGAGGGGCTTGTGGCCCAAGAGGGGCCGGGCCCCAGCTCCCTGGGTATTCTCCCTGGGGAGCTGCCACTGCCCCACACCCAGCCTGGCCCTTGCCTGCCAGCCCAACATGCAGGCAGGAGGAACCAGGGTCTGGTGTGCAATCCTTAGTGCATACCTGCTCTGAGGGGTACCAGCCTAGCTGTTTTGGGTACCAGGCAAATGAGAGATGATGTGTCCTGTCCTGGCTGAGGAAGGCAGGGCCCCACACTGGGAAGCAGAAGGCAAGTGCCTGATGGGCTGTGTCAGCTGTGGGCACATGAGCACTCAGATGTGGGAGGCTGAGTATGGCTGGACTGACCCAGGAGGGCTTTGGGGAGGAGGTGGGCCAACAGGGAGGACTGGAGGGCTCTAGGGGAAGGGGAGATGAGCTTGTTGGGGGAGCCCCAGAACTGGAGTATGAGGAGGCGATTCACAAGGGCTCCTGATGGGCTGGGAAAATCTCACAGCCAGTCCCAGGGCCCCACTGGAGTCCTAGGAGACAGTTCCCTCACCCCAGGAGCTGCAAGGCTTGGGCACCAGGGGGCCAGTCGGGGAGGAAGTGCCACAGCATTCCTCAGGAGAGTGGCCAGCAGGCTCCCTGCTCTGCCCAGAGTTGGTCTGGGTCACATGTCTCCTTGCATAGATCAGGGAGAGGAGGAAGGTTTCACTGCACTGGGCCTGATCCTAAATCCCACCCCTCCGGGTGAGCTGCCCACACCCTGGGCCCTGCTGCCTGACCTGGTCCAGACAGACTGAGGCTCTGAGCAGCAGGTGCACAGGAAGAAGCTGCTTTCTGTTTCCTCCCAGGGGCATGGTTGGGGAAGACCAGGGTACAGGGTGGAAAACACCAAAGTAGGGCCTTTAGATAAAAAGGGGTGATTTCCCAGTGCCTCCTTAGACTCTTGAAGCCCCTCAGCCCCAGCACCCCAGGCCCGACAGCTGCGGGGTAGGGGAGGGTGGAGGTAGGGGGAGGGGAGGTCTTGCCAGTTTTCTCTAGGGACACAGCCAGTGCCCTTTCAGGCCTTGGTGACTAAGTTCTCGGGAAGCCCAAGCCCAAGCCCAGCCCAGTCCTCCACCCCCTGCTCCTCCCTCCCCTCCGCCCCCACCCCTCCTGCAGGCTTAGGTAGGGCACACCCCCAGGGTCGGCCTCCACAGCTCCTCCTGCTGGTGGAGGAGCAGCACCCCGGTCCTCGCCCTGCTTTGCCCAGCGTGGCTGCGAGGCTGGGAAAGACCCCGCACTCCTGGGGTCCCGAGACAACCACGCAGGGTCAGCGAGAGTCCTGGCATGTGTCCCCCAATCCCCGCCATGCTAGTCTCACTTTTCCTCCACTTTTAGCCTCTTGATTGTTGCCTTCTTAAGTTCTGTAACAGGACCTACAGAAACTAGCCCAGGAGCTATTGCGCCCCATTCTTCTCTGCTGCTGGGGGTGGGGGGCAGAGTCTACCTTTCTTGGCTTGGCCGGGAGCCCAGGAACGGAGCCTCTACCTGACACCGTCTTCCCCCAGACTCTAGCACAATTCCTGCCATTGGCCCGAAGTTCCCGGGGGATGAACGCTTTAAACCTCAACCTCTTTTCCAAAAGGGTGAGGGTGGCCCAGGAAGAGCGAGGGCGAGTGCCTTGAGAGTAAGGATCTCGGTGGCCCAAGCCAGCCTCCTGCGGGGATCCCGAAGCCCCCATTCTGCACGATAGCGAAGGGGAGCGAGAG